CCTGGATTCCCTGGATTTTCAGTTCTTATCTGTACCAGTTTACATCCTCTGGTCTAGCCAGCCTTGCAAGGTCGAATTCAAGTCATGGTAGTGGGAGGCTTCTGAACATTAAAAGGCGCTGACATAGGAACAAGTTCTAGATCTTCCTACCAACAGTTCTCTTTTGGACCTTTGCTCAGTTACACGCTCTTCTTTTTACTCTGTTTCCCTAACTCAGTATGCAATATGGAACTACATCCACCACCTGATAAACATGACACAAGAACACTACTCATTTTGCCACTTCTGGGCCATGTTTGCATCAGCTCTTCCTTCTTGTACTTTACCCTCTCCAAATATGCAGGAATCAGCCCTTTCCCTTCTTGGTGTCCATAATAGATATTTAATTTCTACATACATCTTCGAATTGGACATAAAGCAGCATGACAAAGCAAAACTTGTTTGTTGTCAGAGGTCAAAAAGACCGGAATTCAAATCTCAGCTTGGCTCTTATTAGCTCACAAACTTGCCAAGCTCCTTATGGTTGGTAAGCCCCCCTCTCCTCATAGAAGAGAAAGATTTTGCCTCCCATCCTACCAAGATTGTCTGAGTATTAAATACAGTAGCATACAGAAGGATCCTCACAGGATATGTGCTCAATAATTAACACATGCTGGTAATATTATGATTATCAGGTGTAAAATGTTTATGATTGTGAGTACTCAAACAGCTAGAATAACATGGAGAGACCGCCATTGAGTAAATTTCAACTCAGGGAACTCTCCATATGGTCTCCAAGTCTAGGATCTTTAGAGGAGCAGAAAACCACAGTCTTCTCTCAATGACCAGCTGGTGGGTTTGAACCTTCAACCTTCTGGTTAGCAACCATATATTTAACTACTACAATAGGGGGGCTCAAGACTAAAACTATCATTTTAAAAATTGTTGGGGATATTTTTCCCCTACAGTCACAGATATCCCCCTATGACCACCACCACCCCACATCCCATTATTTGTGTTAGGAAACTGACTAGTCTTACCTGATGCTAGCAGACTTTGCTTTTAAATCGTTCCATCTTTGGTTCATATCATCGAGTCGGTGTTGAAGCATAGTAGCTTCTTCAGAGTTTCCCAAAGCTTTTACCATCTTCTGCCGGTTTCCATCAACGCTTTTAAATATGTCATTGTGGGCATCAATTTCCGCCTGGATGTCCTAACCATTAAAAGAGCAAGGAGACAAGGCACGTGTTAGTTACATCAGTGTCAGCAGTGTTACTTGGGATTTCAATACACCGCTTAATGGGTTCAAATCCCACAGATGAGTTGTTTCTGGCAAAAACACACTTATGCCTTTCTACAATTATTTTATACTGAGACCAATAGTCCTTACGTTTTCAGTAAGAAGCCCAGGTATGCAGTGGAAACTAAAAGGCCATTGGTTCAAACCCACAAGTGGTTCTCTGGGAGAAAAGACCTGGGGATGGACAACAGAAAAGTGGGTGAAGGGAGATGTCGGACAGTGTCAGATATGACAAAATAATAACATAAATTATCAAAGGCTCATGAGGGAGGGGGAATGGGGAGGGAGGGGAAAATGAGGAGCTGATATGAAGGGCTAAAGTAGAAAGCAAATGTTTTGAGAACGATGAAGGCAACAAATAGACAAATGTGCTTGACACAATGACTGGATGTATGGATTGTGATAAGAGTTTTACAACCCCCAATAAAATGATTAAAAGAAAAAAGATTCCCTGAGAAGTCCTACAAGCAACTCTATGAGTTGGAATCGAATGAACAAAACATAACAACAACAATAGCAACAATACAGTCTTCTATATATTCATCTTCCAGTTCTTTGTAAAAAAAATTTAGATCTTCTAGTTCTTAAAAATGGAATGCATTATCATCTAATTTCTTTTTTTATTAATCATTTCATTGAGGAGCTCTTACAAATCTTATAACAATCCATTATTCAATTGTATTAAGCACACTCGTACATATGTTGCCATGAATATTTTCAAAACATTTTCTTTCTACTTGAGCCCTTGGTATCAGCTCCTCTTGAACCCCTCCATCCCCCACTCTCCAACCCTTGTGAATCCTTGCTCAGTTATATATTATTTTTGTTATTTCACGTCATACATTGTCCGTTGTCTCCCTTCACCCACATTTCATCCCCGAGGGAAGGCCTATATTTTCAACCTTGTGATGGGTTATAATCTAAATTTCATGTATTAGCTAGTTGAATCCTAGCACTTCATTTTCTCCCATGTAACAGAAAAATCCTGTCTTTTTATAAAATAAATTTGGGCAAAGAATAAATGAGAATTATTAAAAATTAATACTAAAAAGTGGTTCAGATATCTTGAGGATACATTATAGCAATCTGTAGCAAAAGCCTTACGACTGTTGGTGCTATCTCCCCTAGAAATATTTCTGCATAATTACGCTGACCACACTGCTTGTTTTAAATGTGAAAAAGTAGAAATTATGATACTATGTCAGCATCAAGTAACATGAACGTTACAAAAGGAGAATACAAAACTAAAGAGGAAGGTGTTAACTTTTTAAAGCACCTGTTTAAATGGGCTTGTGTATTCATCTATAAGGGCACACACAAAAACACAACAATGCAATTTTTATATAAAGGAACTTTTAATTATTTTACTTTTCTTCTTTTCACATTCTGGTGTATTTAAAAAACTCTTATGATATTTACAAGATAAATGTCATACACTGAACGAGTGAAAACAAGGAGATTGTGTAGGTTATTTTAAACTACTGATACACATTGAGATTGTCAAGCCAATGGCCTATACTGATTTGACGCTCATAATCGCTTTTTGAATGAAATGAAAGCAACAGAAAGCATGCCAGCCACAAACACTACCTCTAAATTTATTTACAAATAGAAACACAGACATCAGAGGTCATGAAAGTACAATATGAGCTTCCAAAGCTTAAATTGGTAATGGACATTGATTTGTTGCAGACAAAAACATACACACACATATATATTTATATTTCTAACAATGAATCTTTAGTAAGAGAACATTAAATATGATTTCTTAAATCATTGGGGGCTCTTATAGTTCTTATACCATTCCATACATCAATCATATCACACATATTTGTACATATGTTGCCATCATTATTTTCTGAACATTTACTTTCTATTTGAGCCCTTGTTATCAGCTCTTTTACAACCTCCCTCCACACTCTCGTGACTCCTTAATAAATTATAAATTATTATTGTTTTCATATCTGACTCAGACCACTGTCTCCCTTCACCCACCTTTCTGTTGTTCATCTCCATGAGGGCGTGGGGGGGGGCGGGGTGGATTATGGGTGGATGATTGTGATTGGTTGCCTTTTCTTCCCCTCCTCCCCCAGCCTTCCCCCTACCCTCCTGGTATCACTCCTCCCATTTCTGTTCCTGAGGGGTTTATCTGACCTGGATAAATATATTTTTAATCCATGTCAAGTTTGCCTCTTCTTTCATTTCTTGAATTCTAAATGGATAATCATACAAATTGTTTAGATATTCAGAATATCCATCTTCATCAAAAATTCACTGCTGTTGCATTCCTTCTGAAACCAAGATTTAGAGACCTAAAGTGATCTTTCTTCCATTACCCATGGGCCCATACTAATCAGAAGAACCCATTGGAAGGCTATTTTGCATCTCACAACTCCAATCATCCTGTAAAAAGGTGTCACTCATAGGAGGTTAAGGTGCAGAGTTCCTGTTTTCTAGTTCTGATGAGACTGGCAGCACTCACAGGGCCAAGTCTTAAAGACAGGAAGACATACATGCAGAGCTTAATGAACAGTGCTTGTAAAGTGTATGCTCCAAATTTACAAGCCTATTCGTCTGACTCTACTGATACAGCCAAGTTGGGCCTATCTGCAAAGTACAATCTGGATAATCAAAGAATTAGGTTTTCTCACTGAACAAACAACTCTGAGATTCTTCAATCTGTTTGCATTTCAGAAGCTGCTCCACCCTCAGACGGCACCAAATGGACATTAACAGGACAGTAGATCGAAGTCAGGTATCGACATAATGTTCTCACGTTGGGTGACATTCTACTCAGAAAACAGGGCTCTCACTGTCATCTCAGTATGGGATCATTCAAAAAGAAGTCTTCAAGGTACAGAGAAATGTTTGGCTGCAAGGATCTTTAGTATCAAGTTCACAAACAGGGCATTCTTTGGGGGAGAAATAGTCTTATTTTTATATCCTGAAATTCATTGTAGGCCATCCAAAGGGATGTATTAAAAAGTCAACAGATGATATTTGCAACGTTTTACAACTTATGCGATATATAAATAAAATAGCCCTCTTCCCAAGAAGCTCCACAACATATAAATGACTTGTTTCAAGGACTTGGCCTCAAATTTCCTGTGTAGAGTCCCAAATATCAGTACCATGAACCACACCTAAAATCACAAGGCATCCCAAGGCAACTTCAACTCAAAGCATCCTTTTATAGCCAAGGTAAACAGAAAGCCTGAAATCTACAAAGACCCAGAAAGAGTTTTCATATCCCAAAAGCCTTCCACAATGAAATCACAAAATTTGGATACCATGCGTACGAAGTCAATGTGGTTCGTCTCATGTCAGACGAAGCGATCACAACCCAGTTTTCATGACCCATGGGCACATCGGGGCTGCTCACCTGGAGAGCCAATGATTACAAGCATTTCTAAAAAGTTTTAAGGGCTTTGCCACTGATCATACATGTACATCAGAATATACATTTCATTCCATCAGGTTTGAACATCATCAAAAGTTAGGAAGAACATCCACAAGCAGCAGGTGATGAAGGACAAGGAGCGCGTTACAGATGATGGGCTTATGTAGCACAGTACTTATTTTGCCAAGCAAAGCAGGAAATCCTGAAGACCAAAAAAAATGACCTTAGAATTACTTCTGTATCCTCCATAGCCCATTATATGAATGAGTCTAATGGAAAATAGACACAGCTAGGTGATTAAATGCACAGATGAATGTATGAATAAGTACATCTTGGTTAACTGATTATTAGCCAATGTACTATGGGGAAGGGGGGAATCCACTGAATTTTTCTCAAAAGGATTCTCTTGGAACCACCTTCCAGCAATACACACTTCAAGTAGAAAGTTTTAAAAAGACAGGGCTGAGGACATAGGGCTACATTCAGTTATCTGTCTGTCTCTCTGGGTCTCAAAACATCACTGATAGCCTAATATTCAGATATTTACACTAATACCTAATATCACTGATAGCCTAATATGCAGATATTTACACTAATATCTAATATCACTGATAGCCTAATATGCAGATACTTACAAACTGGTTGACATCGAGTCAATTCTTTTGAAAAAACTGCCAAGACATAGTAATTATTTTTGTTCAATCTCTTTCATTTAAAAACATTTCATATGTGGTTGTATGAGCCCCTAATAAAAGGATTGAAAAAAAATTTTTTAATAATAAAAACATTTCATATGTGAACCTATGATCTTTAGAAGTCTGGACTGCAAAGTCCAGGCTACGCTTCACGTCCATCCCACCTGCAACTAGAAATTGAGAATTAAAGACAGTGAATGAATTCTCCTCCTTCACAGGTCATTGTGAAATGATGTCCTGGCTTCGAAATCAAGATGCCAGCATGAGAGGCTGTTTGATTAGGACCCTGGTGAAGCACCAAATGCTAGAATACATTAGAGTTCCACGCACAAGGCTGCACTCTTGCTCATTTACCATACAGCTTGGAGAGCTGGCCCTAGTAATGCTCACCTCTATCCCCTACAAGCCCTGCTGGACATTAAACGGCACAAAATGGCAGCTTGTCACCAGTTATTGAAATAGAATCCCAACCAGAAGCACAAAGCAATGATCTTCCCAGTAGTTAACAGAAACCAGCCGGATGCAGAGTAAGGCCATACATAGCAAGGTATTCCAGCAGCTGAACTGGCCTTTAAAAACAGGGCTAAAGGTTTCACTACAATGTACCTTCCAGCAATATACACTTAAAGTAGAATGTTTTTAAAAGCTAGGGCTACATTCATTTCTCTCCCTCTGAAAACATCACTGATAGAAAAATGTGCAGCTATTTATCCTCTCACTGCCAGGGGGCAATTCTGACTCAGCGGCCCTCTAAGACTGAGTGGAACTGCTCCTGTTAATGTATGAGGAGGGTGTACATCTTTGGGGGTTCAGAAAGC